AAATTGGATGTTTTTTTTAAAAAAATTACAAGAATTCACTATGATGTTAATTACAATGTTTGAGTTTCCCGTGTTGTATATGCAGCAATTATAGAGCATTAGGTCATTACTCCAATGAATGGAAAGCTTGCAAACAAGCTTAATAGCAAGAGAATTAAAAGAGAAACTCTGGTGACCTAGTCTTGTGAAAACAAGTAATAACCCAAGTGTGTGCTGCTCCTGGTGAGTGGGTAATCACACAGAGGAGGCAAGAGGGAAGCGTGCTGCTGCCAGTGAGTGGGCGATCATGTGAAGGAGGCAGGGTAGGGAAGCTAGTGGCACCCTACCTGTGTGGGTGCTGGCCCAAACTGCTGAATTTCTCTGCTCTAGATGCATTTAAAATATAAAAAAGTATACAGTATTTGGGAATTTGTGTTGGGAAAGTGTGAAGGCAAGAGAAGAAGGGGATGACAGAGGACGAGATAGTTGGACAGTGTCATCAAAGCTACCAACATGAATTTGACCCATATTCTCTGGGAGGCAGTGGAAGGCAGGAGGGCCTGGCGTGCTCTGGTCCGTGGGGTCACGAAGAGTCGGACACAACTTAACAAACAACAAAAACCATTTTGTGGTTTACATCAGACAGATAAAAGAAGGGGGAAATGTAGCCTCCCCCATGTGGAAGAGTCTCCCATGCTTTTTGTCTAGTCAGAGGTCAGCAGAAGAAGAAAAGCGAACAACAACGAAGACAATGGAAGCAAGCAAAGAAACAGGAAGAGGGGCAGGGGCTTGCTTCAAATGTCAGAGGTGAGAAAAGAATTCTACCAATCAAGTCAATAACAAAGGACAATTACAACAGGCTGTAAAAGCCCCTTCCTGCTGATACCCAGTGTTAGTGCATGCAAGTTTGTTATTATTTCAGCATCTTTATTGCACATTCATGTTCCCTGAAATCTATAGACACCTCTCTCTGCATCATAACCAGATGTTGCTGATACGTTGCATGATTCCTCACCAAAAGTGTAAGGTACATGAAAACTGATATTGTCAAAATGACTAGTTTTGCATTAGAGGCCAGAGCTCATTTTACAGAAGTCATTTTAGCAGCATGAGTTAGAATACAGATAGCCAGGAGTGGGGACTTAAGTTGTGGGTCTTGTTGTTAAGTCAGACTTAGATAGCACTGGTGACTCAACTCCATTTTGTTTTGTTTTTTCAATGACTGGGACTCAATTCTCAACTTGGAACCCACACACCCTCTATTTTTTCTGGGGGGGGGGAAAGCTGGTTTTTAATAGGGACTTGGACTTGGGGCTTTGGACTCAATACCAAAGATTCGGACTTGGGATTTGGTATCACAGATTTGTACTCAGACTTGGGCCTTGGACCCAAAGACTTGTCAACATCCCTGCAGATACCCCTTTTAACTTCAGCTCACATAAACGATTATCATCATTTTCTGTACAGCATCCTCTCAATGGATGACGTTTGTTTGATCTGGGTTACTTAGGATTGGATAGCAATAGTTGCATGTGACCTTTAAAGAGAGGCAGACTTTAAAAATGCACAATTAAATGGGGAGAGGAAAATGGGGGAAGGAACGCCCTGGGTGGAACCACTGTCTGGAAAATAGACAGTGGAAAAGAGTGATGTGGTTTCAAAGCTAATAATATTTAAATACAGTACATTTCATTTGAAGCCAGACTAACTGACAAGGTAAAATGGACAAAATCAAAGATGGACATGCAAACAGCTCTGAAGGGCAGGGTGGGGCTCTTTGAAATTTTTGTGTTTCTGTTATTTTTCATCTTTTGAAAAAAAAATTACATGTGGTGTTCTTTCCTCTCTGGTTTTTATTTTTTTTATTTTTTTAGTGGAAAGTCAGACTCCTGGCTGTACTCTATGCTGTCTTTCCCAAAACCTATTCTAAAATATTCAGCTATGGGTTCCTGAGGTCAAATTCTATTGCTGAAAGTTTGGGAAACTCTGTTCCTAACTTCTTAACTGTTAATATGTTTATTCCAAGAATTGGCTGTCTGCTGTCAGCCTATGTTGGCAATGTTGGCAACCTTGATATGCGTGTTGGAAGTTCATACCCTCTGACTGTGAAATCCGTACAACACAGAGGTGCAGGGATACCAATGCTTGCTTTTAGACACTACACACATTACAAAATCTACAGGTGGACTGAAACAAAACAACAGTTTTGCTGTGTCTTTTTCAATGAGTGTGAGGAGGAGGCACTGCCGTAGCAAGCCGGGACACTTATTCTGGATTAGAAATTGAATAAAGGGTGAGGACAGCTTCACATCAACCCCAAAGGGCAGATGGGAAAGAATGAGTTCATTGTTTCACTCCCCCACCCCAGGACGTACCTTCTCAGTGTTGGAAATAAAGCAAAATGGGTAAGTAGGGCTAAAGCTGGACTCGCTCGTGCTGAAGAGAGATTGTCAAGCTGCTGTTTCCGTGTGCTTTTGAAGGCCTTGAAAGCACTTCCTGGGGAAGGTTACAGCCAACGGAGGCCACTGGATGCCCATTTGGATCACACCCGTGCCAGCAGCAGTCCAGGACAATAAGAGAACTTGCTAAGCAACCACCCGTTGGAACATACTGTTCATCCTCTTACTTAGCAGTCCCTTCCCTGCTCACACAGTTATGCTGAAAAGGCCGTACAAAGATGGAGGAAAATGTATCAGGGAAAGGAAGAGGTGGGGGTAATTTTGTGCAACGTATCTGAAATGCTCTCTGGGCTGTAGGACCAGCCTTGAGATCCCGTTTTGCAGCTTTTGTGCAGTAGGACCATTTGAACGTTAAAGCCCTGAGAAGAGCTACAGACAAAACCAGCCAGGCAACAATGGCAGAATCCATGGCTTTAAAGTGCCACTGTTTTTCCTTTATCTTTTTAGGATAATAGCTGCTAAAGACGGCAATAGAGGGAGTAGGTTAGTGGGGGAGGACGGGTTGGATCTGCAGATTGTGACAGCAGGGCAAACCATTGATTTTGGCAAGAGACCTGGCTTTGAACGAAGAGCTTCATGAACTTGGGTTGGAAGGAAGGAAGCTGTCCATGGTGTGGCCATGTCTCATCTGCCGATTTCAACAGAGCTTGAGCCTGAGTGGCCTTGGAGCCGATATATTATGGGAAGGATGACCAGAAAATACTGCATAGGCTGTCTCTGCCTCCATCTTCCTCCTCCTGCCCCTCCCTATGAGTGTTGCTACATGACATCCAAAGGCAGTGGCAGCTCTCTTCCCAAAGACAGAGTTTGCACCAGTGCTGTGTTCCAGCAACACACTGGGGAGAATTGGGGCTCTTACTCAACATCTTCAGTGCCCCATCCTGAGTGATGAAGTTGTGCCATTTGTGAAAATCTCAGTAAGTCTATTTAACTGTTCGCTGCTTCTGTGACTTTTATTTATGATTGTTTTCGCATAGGCCAGAAAAAGCATTGAGAATCTGCCAACAAGCATGCATTTTAAAGGCAACTGAAACCATCATCCCCTCATTTTCCAGTTTCTTGACAAATATTGTTAATGTCACACATAGCAAGAACTTAACAGTGCCCTGTTCCTGCACCAGCATCAGGGACAAGGCAGGCTGAGGTCAGATGTTGGCACCCAATTTGTACTGCTGACTCAAATGTAGAAGGACTTGTAAAAAGTCTGAATTGCGGTCGGCCCCATCTGAATGCAGCAATGAATCCAAACTCCATTGAACTCTGCTGCAGTCAGACCCGGCTGCCAAGGACTACTGTGTGGCCTCTGTTACATTTTTGTGAGGCCTAAGTTAAATGTGTGGTAATTAAGATTATGCCAGTTGTTCACAAGTTCTAATCTTTTCGGCCACAAACTCAGTGGAATGGAAATGCTTCCTGATAAAACACTCAGGATTGTGGGAATGTTGTTCTTTTAAGAGAGAGTTGCTTTTGAGACCCTTTTTTCTACTGCTTTGCCTTCTTGAATTGGACACATGGATGGTGGCCTGCAATCGGGGGTTATGCCTGGAGGATGTCACGACAGTACATAGCTGGTTAGACTTGATGATGTTCCTAGGATAACTGTAAGAACAATTTTTCCAAAAAGTAGTTTAAAAAACACCATTGACTGCTAATAAAATTGCCAAAAAGGAAAGGCATTTTCATACCGTGCCAGAAATGTTCACAAAGTCTGGCAAGCCATTTAGCTCAGCTGTGACCTGCCGTTCTCTTCTTCCAGGGCTTTCTTACGGTTTTGCAGCTGGAAAGCTCACGCAGGGTTAAGTTCATCTTTTGTGTGTCGGGGCTTGAAGCTGAAGAGGTCTTGTGGCAAGAATGGAACCCTTTGATTGCTCTTGCTTAGTCTGAGTTTTTAAAAATCTTGTATATTTGGTTTCAGTTACACAACAGTTGGGATAATTAGTTTGCTTATAAACAATACAGAGAGTGCTTTGTTACATTCATGGGGAGGGGGGGGTTCTTCTCCTGGCAAGGTTTCTTGCCCAGTTGCTTTTTCTTTTTTGGGGGGGTTGTGCAATTTTCCATACTGGGCGTCCTAAGCTCCTTGAGTTATTTTCCTTCTCCCTTCACGTGTCCCCAGTTCACCCTGTTTAGACCAGATGCTGCTTTGATGCCACACCTGAGGCTGTCGGGTCAACCATAGAATTTGGCCCACTGGATCTTGAGCTGCTCCTAAAAGGAGTTGAGAGACGAGATGATGATGTGGCTAAAAGGCTAAGCACTTGGCCTTTTTGAGATACTTCTTCCCCCCCCCCCGCTTTGTAGCACAAATGGGACAATACGTTCTGCGTTCTTTGCCAAATTATCTCCTGTGGTTGAGACATGTGCGGGTTCTGATTTAAAACAAGGCCATTATTAAATACTTCTGACAACATGTGCAAAAAAGGCACCAGAAGACTGAAGCTTATGGGAGAACAAGAGAAGCATTTTCTGCATGGGTCTTTTTGACACCTTGTGTAGTTGGTGTGCCATGTTGTCTGGTTTGAATTTTTATTCCCCATAGCAGCCTGTTTTGATTCCCTGCAGTGAGGGCATCTGTGGAAAACAAATGTGCACTGTGGCTGACACAACTAATCGTTCTCCTCTTCCCTGTGTAGAAACTGAAGAACATGCTGAAGGATCAATTGCTGATAATATTGTGGATGGTGCCCCCAGTGTGGTGAGCGGAGGTGGACGGTTAAAGCCCTTGAAAAATGGCAGGGAGATGGCTGTAATTCGTGACAAGGTGAATGAGCAGCAAAAGCACATGGGCAAGCCTACCAAGCACCACCATCACCCTGACCTACGGGCACCATCTCTCAGGGTGAGTTGGTAAAAGACTGAGTGAAGTAAACAACAGACAGAGTGCCCTCAAGGATGTGCATCAGCTCTTTTGGACCATATTGTTCTTCTCTAATGGAAAGGATACACAATTTACAATGTGTGGGTGTTGTGCCAGGGAGATCTTTTTGAACAACTGTCAGTTTGTTAACAATATGAGTTAATTATGTTTGAAAGAGAAGAGTCTTAAGGGGGTATTTTTAACACACACACACACCTTACTGAGATACTTGGTGCTCTGGGCCCTGTTATTTTAGATAATCCCTTCAGGAAATGGGAATGGATGAATGAAAAGAGCAAAGATTTAAAAAAAAAACCAGGGAAATGAATAAATAGGTTAGACCTAAAAGACCATGCCTACCTTTTGTTCCTGCCTTGAACACAAATTTCAGAAGGTACCTTGTACATATATTTGTTTAGTTCATCTAATTTCTACTCGATCTTTCTCCCATGGTCCTGTGGTGCCTTTTTGACACAACCCTTCTCTCTCTCTCTCTCTCTCTCATCACCTGTTGAGAGAAATGTACTGGTTGACTATTAAAGGCAAGCTAGTCTTTCTCCCTGACCTCTGTTTCTCTTCATTGAAAGTTTCTGGGTTGATGATGATGATGATGATGACGACTCCACCCTCATATGTAATCTGGAATGGCACCATCCAGAAACAGATTAAACTCATCATTTATAAGAACTAGGAGCATTATAGTTTGGCCCATATTTCCAAAAAAGAAAACTGTTCCACCCCCTGGTTATAGGCACACTACAACACATTTAATAGGGATCTGAATGGCTCTACTTACTCATGTATGTGGCTGTCAATAGACCATTATTTACTTGCAGTCATGGATAAAATTCTTCCTTTTAAAACAACAAACTCATCTCTAATAATATTGAACTGCAATAATGATAATTACTATAATAGAATCATAGAACAATGAAGTGGAAAGGGGCCTATGAAGCCATCATATCCAATCCCCTGTTCAATACCGGCATACAGATCAAAGGCTATCTGCCAGGTGGTTGTCTAAGTTTCTCTTGAATGCCTCCAGTGTTGGAGTACTCACCACCTCTTGAGGTCATTGATTCCATTGCCATACTGCTCAAACAATTAGGAAGTTTTTCCTGATGTTCAACCAAAGTCTGGCTTCATGTAGCTTGAGCCCATTGTTGCGTTTCATGCACTCTGGGATGACTGAGAATCAATAATGCCCCTTCTCTGCATGACAGCCTTTCAAATATTTGAAAAGTGCGATCATATCTCCCCACTCTTCTTTTCTCAAGGTCACACAAGCCCAGTTTGTTCAGTCTTTCCTCATGGGGCTTGGTTTCCAGCCCCCTGATCATCCCTATTGCCCTCCTCTCAGCTTGCTCCAATTTGTCTGCATCCTTCTTGAAGTGCAGTGCCTAGAACTAGATGTCGTACTCATGAGACAAGTACTTTGCAGGATTTGGAGACTGTACATCTGTTAATGCAACCTAAAATAGTATTTGCCTTTTTTGTAGCCACATCACACTGTTGGCTCATATTCAGCTTGTGATCTACAAGATTCTAAGATTCTTCTAACTCGTCAGATGTAGTACTCATGAGACAAGTACTTTGCGGGATTTGGAGACTGTACATCTGTTAACAGTGTCTCTTTTTTTCTTTTTCCTAGGTGCACTACTTTGCACTTATCCTCTAAGATTCTTCTAACTCGTCATATTGATGATCCATCTTTTAACAGTGTCTCTTTTTTTTCCCTAGGTGCACTACTTTGCACTTATCCCTGTTGAGTTTCATTCTGTTGTTTTCATCCCAGTGCTCAACCCTGTCTAGATCATTTTAATTTTGATTGTCTTCCAGGGTATTAGCTATTCCACCCAATTTTGTGTCATCTGCAAATTTGATTAGCATTAAGTAGTGGTGGCAGGCACTACCATCTGGAAGCCCCTTCATCCCAAGCAGAAATATGCAAAAGTCAGCTGCACTTGTAGTTTCAGATTGAGGAAAGTGTCAGTCATAATGAAAACAGGAACACCTACTTTGAAAGAGAGTTTGCAGTGGTGTTAAGAAAAGCTTCGCCAGCAACAGGATAAAAGTTGCAATCTTTGTATGTATACTGGCTCTGAATGGCAGAAGGCAGATCATAGTCCATTGGTGGTCCACTGGCCAACTGCTGGTGAATCACTTAGTGCCTGCTTGGCATTAGGATTTATGGGGGGAAAGGGATAGATTAGGAAGACCTAAGGCAATGATTCACATCCAGGTATTCCTGAACTAAAACTCCCAGGAGCCTTCACCACTAGCTGTGCTGGCCAGAAGTTCTGGGAGCTGTAGTCCGAGAACATCTGGGGACCAAAGGTTGGGAACTACTGCCTTAAGCCATTGAGACATATCCCTGATTACTTTAACATGGAAGGGTCAGCCATTGAGACACATCTTATATCCCTGATTACTTTAACATGGAAGGGTTGTGTCTCAGGTGTCCAGAGGCCCTTAATAGGCATCTGTTTCATAAACGTGGCACAATTTTTAAAAAAACCAACAGACCCTGTTTTAAAAAGAAGAAGTAAACCACTTGAGACACCCACCCACCCACCCCATCCTGTCATATATACAGTATTGAAGGTTACATTAGCACCAAGGAAACAAAGAAGACGAAACAGTAAAATGGAAAGGAAACACCAACAGAACAAAACCAGAAAACTTTATGGAGTTTTGGCAGGGCCTAGACGGATGACTTTGACCGTCGGTTGTCAATCAGGTTTGCAGTTGGTATCATTAGTCGAAGCCCAGAGACAATTCCCAGTAATTGTTTTTCCAGTTCAGCTTTCAGATTAGCCAGTTGCCAAGTATGAAGTATAATTGATACCGGTTAGCTGCTCCTGTTGCTCACACAGCTGTGGTTGCTGCTGCTGCTGCCGCCTCTGCCATGGCTGTATGGGAAGTTCCCCTCTCCCCCTCAGTGTTTCCTGTTGTCACACTCACACTGGTCTAGTTGGCAATGCTTTTCTCCACCTGGCCTGGTTCCATGTCAAATCTGAGTGGCTGAAAGGTATTCAGGACACTTTCACAGACAGAAATGGGTGGACTGGGAGTGTTACGACTGGTTTTCAGAGTTTCTTCAGAATGTGTATGTAAGGGATCTGGCAAATGATGGTTGGCCCTTGTGTTCTTAAGTGGACTTTCCTTCTGAGCAGACATACAGAGGATTGTGTTGTAGGCGGGGGTCTATAATTCAGATGTGGTCTTTGTCACCTGCTTCTCAGCCATCACATAGCTACCAGTCCCATTGAATCCACAATGGAGGGTGAGTCAGTGGGTATGACCAAATACAACTGGTGATGATAGAACAGCATCATTGGGTCTTTCTTTCTCTCAGTGGTTCCATAGAAACTGCCAGTGCAGTAAATCTCACCTTGGTATTATCAACCATCTGTAGAATTAGAGGCATTGATTTTTGGATGTACTCTCTGATAATACAGTATATTGATATCAAGATGTGATAAAAAAATACTACGTTATCACTAGTTATGCAACCAAAACTAAGGTTATGGTATGCATTTAAAAATATAAAGATTCTTGAGGCAGTTTAAGCCAAGATACCAGGAACAGTTAATTCCTGCAACCTGGTTATCACTTGTCATTACCAATGTTTTTTTCTGCTGCCACTTGCCTTGGGAAGAGTTGCAGGGTTAAGCAACTCTGCTTCCTGGCCACTGGAGATCCCGCCAACCTCTTTGCCCTTGATTCCATGTCATTATGCAAACAACATCATGCTAAATTTTGTACAGTAGGACTCCCCCCCCCAAAAAAAAATCCACAAGATCAGTATCCACTGATTGACTTATCTGCTGGCTGAAAATACTAATTAAAAACTCCCAGAAATAAGTACTGTACTTCCACATTTTTCAGTGTCTTTTTGTGTGGGGGAGAGGGGTGAGCTTGGAACTGACCCCCCCCCCGCAGATACCACAATTCTACTGTACATATAGGTTTAAGTGTAATAGATATTCTTGCTGCTGATGATGTTGTTAAAAAGAAAATTAAAAATCCCAGATACTGAACTTGAATGTTCCAAATTCCATGCTTTTGTGATTATAGACTGGAAGAATATATGGGAGCTCCTTTTCAGCATCACAGGAGCACCATGTGGGTTGCTTTGCAACTCATTTGCTCACCCTAGGACATGCCTTGGGCCATTTAAAGCCTGTACAACCATATGCAGGCAGCCTGGGTGGGAAAGGCCCACGTGGCCTACAATTGTTTAGACTTTACAGATGCATATGGGATATATCTCAGCAAAACACCTTCCATGGTGCTTCTGTGTAATATTTACAGGGCATCGCTATTCTACCACTGTGGTTCTGTTAATTCCTTTAGTTCTAGACGACTGGTACCTATCTGATAAGATTACCACGACTGGCACTATAATCCCAGTGGTGTATGTACACTCAAAAGTCCATATGTACACTCTATTTATAGGGAGCCACGTTTTATGTTTTTGTTTTTCCCCCACATTTGTTTTTGGTCAGTACAGTGCTGGAGGGCAGATGAGCTCCAGTCTCTTTGCTTTTTATGACTAATGGATACTGTACTGATTTTGGAACAGTAGAAGGAAGCCATTATTTGGCTGAAGTTGGTCAGAGTTGAGGGTCTCACCTTGTGGATGTCTCTAAGCCACCCCTCCCTACTTCTTTACCTCTATAATTGAAACCGCTAACCTGTGGATTTGGGAAAGGTGGATTTCTGTCCTTCTTTTGGAACTGTTTCAAGTCTATAAATCAGAACTCTCTTAACAATGATAGGCAGAGTTTGATTAATACAGCACGCTACTTTAGCAGGAAGGGCAGTTTCTGTGGGATTGGGCATGTAACTAACTGCCTTCTAAAGATGGCTCCAGAAAGGGAATGGCAGAAAAAGAAAATTCCCATAGCTGTCCTCAAAAAGTTGCAAAGAGCTTTCAACAGTTCCTTCTCAGTGCAGACCTGTCTGAAGTAGCATATTTAGAAGACAAAGCCTTTTTCATTATTATTGCCACAGACCCAGCCCCTTGCAGTTTTGTTTTCATATCCATTAATCAAAATTACTGCAAGACAGTTTTATAAGCCCTCCCATGCTGAGTGTAGTCAGCAATACATGAACATGTGAATGGTGTCACATCTTTGGGACTTAGGCAAATTGCCGTTGTGTCACAATACTTGGATCCTTCAGGTTTAAAGGTTACATTATGCTGAGGTGATGTAATTATATGGGTGAAGTAGACTCTATTAGAACATTTCCTCACGCTTGGTGAAAAGGTCCAAATTGAAACACTAAAGAGCATTGAGGGGGCAGAGTTATGCAAAGTCTAGAATTGTAACCAAATCCCAGTGGCGTAGTTTTGTTCTTTATAAGATTTCTGTGCCCGCTGTCACTGTATGATTATTGGAAATGGTCTGCATTGCTTTGGTATCGATAGGTTTGGTTTTTGAAACCAGTACATTTTAACTCTTAAATATTTGCAAAGTTGTGTGGAACAAGAACTATAAGCACCTTCTGTCTGCCTGTGTCTCAGTGGGAGCCCTTGATCTCCCCTATGCCTGTCAACAGATGAAAATAATTGTTTTCAGCTCCATTGTTTTGAACAGAACTCTGATGATATTTTTTTTTCTCCTTTTTCCCCTGTCTGCTTTCTTTGGTTTTCTGCAGACCCCTTGCCAGCAGGAATTGGACCAGGTCTTGGAACGCATCTCGACTATGCGCTTGCCAGATGAGCGTGGTCCGTTAGAGCACCTCTATTCCCTGAATATCCCAAATTGTGACAAGCAAGGGCTCTACAATCTCAAGCAGGCAAGTGAGGATGGCGCTTAGGGGTTCTCTTTTGAGAAACTATAATTTCAGGGATCCAAGAGCACTTGCCCAGGGCAGCTCAAGGGCAGCTCAAGTTTCACCAGATCTGCGTAGCTGAACATGGATTGGCAAAGGCAACACAATCCTCTTGGCAGGCCTAAACCCATGGAAGTCCTTCTGGGATTAGGCCAATGGACTGTCTGGTTGTGTCTAGCTAGATACCTTTTGAGCTGCTTTGAGTTTCTTTTATGGAAAAAAAAACCCTCCAGGGTATTTTTTAAAAATGTGAAGAATGTTCCATGGAAACTGTTAGGGATATCATGATAGGAGGAGAGAGAGTTTCCTCCTTTCTCTACATTGTTTTCCAGGTTTTTCAAGTGGCAGAATATGCTTCAGTTTTTCCAAACCATTCTCATGCTCACCAAGAAGCTAACTCAACTCAAGACAAATCTACTAGTTTACATTAATATGCCATGCATGTTGAACGGCAGAAAGGGTTGCCTTCTGTTACGCACAAGCTAAGCTGTAGAGCTGTAGTTCCTAACCTGTGAGCATGCTCTTAGTTTGCTGCAAGGAACGAAAATTTATTTCAGGGTCTTGTGGCCCAAGAGGCTTCTGGAGCAGCTTACAAGAAGATTGTCGGTAGGCTTATATCCTGAAAAGATAGGATTCAAGAGGAGAAACGGATGAGGAGAGAAGAGGAAGTAGCATGTAGTCTTCAGCATGGTTGGTCAAAAAGCCATTCTTCCTATCTCATCTCCTTGTTAATTAAGGATTTCTGTAAGGCCAAAGTACCCATTCAGTACATTTTGTTCTTTTCACTCAGCCTCAGTTAAGAAAACTAGAAATTTTGCTGCTTCTCTGCATGAAGTATAAATGAATTAATTGCCCTTATAGGAATCTCTCCATGGCAACTCTGTATGTCACTACACTGTCAAGTGATTTGTAAAGAAATCCATGGGGGCAGCTAGATGGGAGGTCAAGGCTGACCTAATCATTTGGCAGAGTGAGGCAGCCACCCCAGGCAGGCAGCTTGGGGTGTTACGAAAGGGCAGCAATGAGTTAGATACTTAGTTTGTATGTATAGTATTTGCTGCCAGGAAAAAGTGTATGTGGGATTTTTGCCCTCAGGTACTAAAATAATGGGTCTAATTTTGCATACTTTGTATCTTGACTTTGGATGCGTGTAGGAGAGGAAACTCAACTTCCTGTCCTGCTTCAGACAACAACATGTCTTGAGATGGCCTTAAGAATCATATTTGCTGTTACATACTCTGGAAAGTAAGGTCTTTCAGCTGTAACAATGAAGTGTGTCTGGTTCTCCTTTAGGAAAAAGGCATCCCAGAAAACACAAGCCGATTCAGGTGTTAGAGAATCTGGTTCTCTCAGCATGTTTAGAGCTCTCCTTCCCTGTCATAGAATCATAGAGTAACTGAGTTGGAAGGGGCTTATAAGGCCATCATGTCCAACCCTCTGCTAAGTGCAGGAATCCAAATCAAAGCAGATCTGACTGACGGTTGTCCAATTTTCCCTTGAATGTGAGCGTTAAGAGTGCTCACCACCCCATCACTTTCTTCGCACAATCACATCATGCAATCAAAGCCAAAGAAATGTTCCTGCTCACATGGAGCACATGTACACACGTAGGAACCTATCCTCTTCATGTTGTTGGTGGTCATGATGATGGCGAGATCGAGGCTGAATATTCATTTCCAAGCAAGCACGTTGAGAAAACCAGGTGCTATAGCACCTGCATAGCGCTAACCGTAAGACTTTCATGTTGTGTGTTGGGAAAGGGTGATCTATGTTTTCCAGGGATGGGAAACCTGTGGCCATCCAGATGTTATTAGTTTACAGTTCCTAGCATTTATTTAATGTATTTTCATTTATAAAATGAATAATTTTATGTTTCTCCTCTCAACTCTAAAAGGCCTCCAACTCAATCCCAATTTTTTAGTAAAATCACACAAATGATTTCAAACTTTAGAAAATTGTAAAACAGTGCTTTACTTCAACAGTAGATTAACAATTAAGTACATGAGATAAATATATATTTAAAAGAAAAAGAGAATAGAAGCAATTACATTTAAAATTAAATTGTACATCCAAAAGCCATGTACAATTTTTTTAAAAAGCGTCTGAACAGCCCACTGACTGTTGGCTATGCAGGTTGATGTTGGTAGGAACTGGGAATCAAACAATACATGGAGAACTACATACTCACCATTTGCTTTTTGTTCTTTCTGGGGACCATGTTGCATTTTCATACCAACCATCTCTGGGCTGATATGCTCAGACACTAATTTCAGCTGACATCTTGGTAGGAGTCCACATAAGGGGCAGGAGGAGGAGGAGGCAGGAATTAAGAATGTGAATTGCTTGTCATTTTCCAGGGTGCTTTGTGGCCATGAGTAGGTTTTATCACTTGGGGAAAGTGGCAGGAGGGTAAAATCTATGGGAAAGCAAGCTAACACCTATGTAGCATAATTGATCCTGAACTTTTAGAGTGGAGGAAATTTCTCCCCAGTATATGCAACAATCCACAGAAACAAAAATGCTCCCAAGGATATGGAGAGTAAGTTCTTTGGACTTTTTAAAGTTTGCCTGTGGAGGACACTGCTTTTTTTTTATTTTTTATTTTTGCACAACATGGGCTTGAGTGGATCATGATCCATGGAAGGAAAGGGCTGGATTGATCCTACCTACAGCGAGTTGGCATTATGGGGTCAGCTATCCCTTCTTCCTAGCTCCTTCAGCTATTGCTGCTTGGAAAGTTTGGCTAAGATAGATGGGGAAAGAAGCTGTCGTTCAAAACGTTCTTCCAGGGGACAGCTGCCTTAGGCTGTTGAAGCAAAACCAAGAAGAAGAGTCTTGCCAGCATCTTGAAGGCTAAGGAGTTCCAATTGGCAAAACAAGTTTATGGCATGCAGCCTACAACTTTTCCTAGGACAAGGTGAAAGCACCTGTCATTCTCTTAAGATTCTCATTTGATTTCAAAGGCCAGATGGTATAATTTTCTTTTCTTCTCAATACCCCTGTTGGACATGTTGGGTGTGAACCAAAATGTTGGGTGTGGTTGCTTTGAAGCATCTTTCTCCTTTGGGGGATGAAAGAAGCAATCCCAATTCCCCCAATGTTCTAATTAACTTGGAAGGCCCACACCCCACAGCTGTGGCTAATCCCCCTTTAAATAGAACAGTCCCCTAAAGGGATTTAGCTGTGCTGAACAAAGCCTACTCTACACACCGCCTTGGTTTACAGCAGGTTTGTCCAACCTGCAGCCCATGGGCCGCATGCGACCCAGGTCAGCTCGTAATGCGGCCCAGTTCAATTTTTTATTTTAAAAGAAATTCCAAAGTTTCAAGTTACACTGCCGGCCCTTGCAGCCGGAATGTGGCCGGGGCATGTCACAACAGTAGAGGGGGAGAGAGGGAAGGAAGGAAGGAATGGGAGGGGAGGGGACGGGGGGGCTGCGTGACTGCATTGTGCCGTCCCTGTCAATAGGTGGACCCCCTCCCGGCCCCATAAAGCCGCCAGAGTCAAAGCTGGCAGCCTCTGCTGTCTGAGATTGCAGCTGCCGGTAAGCGTGCTTGGAGCGGGGCTGTGGAGGACGGCTAGGGCTGCCCCCCCATGCGGCCCAAACCAAATGTATGTGCGGCCCAAACCAAATTTTCATCTTCTAATGTGGCCCAGGGAAGGTGAAAGGTTGGACACCTCTGGTGTACACAGAGGCATTCTTTTAGATGAGCTCAAAACTTGCAACCAGGTACAGGACAGTCTGATCCTCCACAGCCTTTCCGCAAAGGGGAAAGAGGAAGATGTATTGCCAGTAATTTAACTGAACCACACCAGTGTTCTAGGCAAACTGAAACTGCAGTCTACAGGGTCTGGCCCTGGTCATCTGACTTATACTAGCTGTACACTTACTGATTCAAGAGCCAGGACATTCAAACACATTACAGCTTAGGCAATGATCTTTGGGCCTCAGTTTCTAGTCAGTGATTGGGAAAAAATGTGTTAATGACATTAACTGTATCTGGAAATTGAGTCCCCCTTCATGGATTTCCTGGGCTCCATGATCACTGCAGATGGAGACAGCAGCCACGCAATTAAAAGACGCCTGCTTCTTGGGAGGAAAGCAATGACAAATCTTGACAGCATCTTGAAAAGCAGACATCACATTGCCAACAAAAGTCCGAATAGTCAAAGCTATGGTTTTTCCTGTTGTGATGTATGGAACTGAGAGCTGGACCATAAAGAAAGCAGACCGCCGAAGAATTGATGTCTTTGAATTGTGGTGCTGGAGGAGGCTCTTGAGAATCCCCTGGACTGCAAAGAGAACAAACCTAGCAGTTCTAAAGGAAATCAACCCTGAGTGCTCCCTGGAAGGATAGATCCTGAAGCTGAGGCTCCAGTACTTTGGCCATCTCATGAGAAGAAAAGACTCCTTGGAAAAAAACTTGATGTTAGGAAAGTGTGACGGCAAGAGAAGGGGACGACCGAGGATGAGATGGCTGGACAATGTCTGCGAAGCAACCAACATGAAATTGACAGAACTCTGGGAGGCAGTGGAAGATAGGAGGGCCTGGCGTGCTCTGGTCCATGGGGTCACGAAGAGTCGGGCACGACTAAACGAATAAACAATGATGGAAATTGAGTCATGGCAACTGGACTTCTTTCTTATTGGGGTGAAACGTTTCACTACTCATCCAAGCCACTTCTAGTCTTCAGACTGAAGAAGCAACTTTGACGAGTAGCGAACCTAATAAGAAAGAGGTCCCTCCAGTTGCCATGACTCAACTTCCAGATAACCTCACTTGGATGACAGATTTATCTTCACATATGTTAACTGTAATATATTATTTGTGGGGCAGCACAGTTCCTTTTTAGAAAATAATGGAGCGACTGGTAGCATCAGTGCTTTGGGGGCAGATTTTGCTTTCTTTTTACTACTCATGCAGTGGTCTGTGAGAGTCCCTCTGCTTTCCTGGATCTTGCACGAGGGCTAGTTGCTGCCCTCCTGTGCAGAGGTTGGGAGGCCCTCTGTTGCTTCCAGTGGGTCTATCTCTGATTTGCACAGCTGCAGCTCTGCCTGCAGGATATTATGCTCCATGAATCCAAACAGGATTTTGGCCTTTGTATTTAGCAGAACAGGTCGTGTTTACTCATTTCCCCCAACATTTTCTTGGGGGATGGGGTGCCATTTGGTGTTTTTGTCATTTCAGTTGACAAATTTCTATGATAAACTAACAAGTTATGAATGTCTAACTGTGCTTCCTAATTTGCCTTTCCCTCCTTCCTTCTCTCCATATTTAGTGCAAAATGTCAGTAAATGGCCAGCGAGGAGAATGCTGGTGCGTCAATCCTAACACCGGAAAAACCATCCAAGGGGCTCCTACCATTCGCGGAGATCCTGAATGCCACCTGTTCTACCCAGGGCACGAGCAAGAGGCTCGGGGGCTGCATGCCCTGCGCGTGCAATAGTTCCTACCCACCGGCAGGCAGCTCGGCCGAGTTTCAGCGCTGGATTTTACATGGGTTTCAATGCATCTTGATTTTCTTTCCTTTCCCCTCCCCCCTAGCTCTTTCTGGGCTACATGTGCCTCTCCACTGCTTGCCTTTAACCCATTGGGGAAGAATTACAAAGGAGCTGGGTTGGAAGGGAACTGGTTTCTCAGCCTTTTCTGCCTGAGAGCTTTCTTAGGTCACATACAGCCTTGATGCAAGCAGGGAATAATCCTTGTGTTAGAGAGAACTGATCTGTCTTCTGCACACAGGTCTCTCCAAAGAACCAAGGTGATCAAGCTCTCAACAGGCTGGATGAGATAATCTTTCCCCTGCTCCTAACCCCTACGCTGACACCAAAGACCAAAGATTGTAAATACTGCATATTGCCTACTGTCCGGAGCCCTAACGTCTCCCTGATGGTCCTGTTAGGTGGCTTGTAGCATAATTGAGGGGTAGGGAGAATCATTGTTCAGATTCAGGTCTTTGGCAGGAAAGCCATTTTCCTTCTTGGAAGGCGTGGGGGGATGAAGGAGTTAGTTACACTTTGCTACCAACTTTTTCCACAAAACATTGCACTTAAAAAAATCCACAATGGTGCACCCCCTTCTCTCCACCCAATCCTTAAAATGCTAGAGTGGAGCTTCATCCATTAAGAACAGAATGCTATGAATAATGGTGCAACTTCAGGGTTTCTCTTAAGTAGAGCCTTATGTTTTACTTAGCCTCTAGTGGGTGTGCTTGTGAGAAGCAGCGATATGCAGGTAAATGTTAATGATGATTCTACTTTTCTAATGGCAGTTCTGCTCTGTTCCAAATCAGGTATAATAAGTCTCAAAATCAAGAGAGAGAGGAGTCAGGTGCTGGGGAAACAACCCCAGAATTCAGGTTTTCTACCTAAGCAAAAACCCATTTAAAACCCACATGTAAGCTGCTGCCAATGGCCTTCTCTTCTATCACATGGGACCCGGGTGATCAACACCCATGTATTTAAATACACATTATATATAGTGCTTTGTAAAGCCCCTGAAAGACATGCAAACAAGATACACAGACACATTATTATTAATATTTGGGAGCTAGGGGAGACATGGTGTTCGATGTTCTCAAGAACAGACTATGTTTTGCTGATATTGTTTCACACCTTTTTGATTTTCTGTGCAGATCATGAAAGTACTGAAAATTTGACTTAGCAGCTGCATGGACAATGAGGTCTTCTTACATTATAAATATACCAATTTATATTTACAGGACAATTGCTAGGTTCATATACTTGGTGTAATCATTGGGAGTTGGGTGTTTTGTTCTGAAAACATAATATTGTAAGAAGCAAAAACAACCAAAAAACAAAACAGATATATTCCTAAAGTTTGGTAGAAGCCACAAGTACTTGTGCAGTAGGGAAACAACTTTGGGACTCTCTCTTTCCAAGAGTTTTCCCTCAAGTTTGGCCAGCCACTGGAGGAAATGTTTTCCCTGTTAATTTCACTGCCTTGTAAAATACACCACTTCAAAAATTCAGTGGTAATTACAAATTGGAGGGGACTTCATCACAATCATCTTCCCTCTTACAACCTCAAGTGACTTTTGACTTGTAGGGATTAATTTTTAGTTTGAGTTCGCAGCTACATATGACAAGGTGGAAGAAAGGGAGAGAGCGGTAAACTACTATGGCTAAACATACAAACAGCTTTAGGGAAGTCTACCAGAGCAGCCACTAGTAATTGCTGGATAGACTAGACAAGGAAAAGCGAAGGTATGCTAAATGTTAGCAGAAGCTTTGGGAGAAGAGTGCCTGATCTATTAAGTGCAGAGAAGGGTAATGAGTGATTGTGACAGGAATAAATCCCAAGGACATTCCAGAAGTCTTAGAAAAGGACATTTAACTCTTCTCTAAACAGAGTTTGACCATTCAGGTAAAGTACGGCACAGTCTAATCCAGTTGCTGTGGTGACTGATGAATATAGTAAGTATAATCTCATTGCTCATTTGGAAATATGCTAGGCTATTTTTGTTCTGCCTGGATTTTATTTCTTAACGTGTTTGGCATATTCCAAATCCTGCCCCAAGTTCATCAAACAAAAATTGGCATTAATGTTGTCAGAATCCCTATCAATTATTTAGCAGGGTAGGAGGGATATTTCATTTACCACTTTCCACTTCCAATCTATTAAGCACCCAAGGAAAACACTAGTATTAGTGCCTTCGTGGGGAACACTGCCAGCCCCACAAATCTCTAGCTGTGGATTCTACTTCAGGTACAAACCTATAACTGTGGTGGATGTAGAAGCACTGCAAAAACTGAACCCTCCAAGTTCTGGGAACATATCTCCATGTTGCTGGGGAGGGGGGGGGCTTTTTGCTTTTCCTTTAGCTAGGCATCCAGATCTCATAATGCAACATCCAGCAATTTCAAGAAAAAAACAAACCTTGGTGCTATGTGTCTTTTGTTGCTATCCATTAAAGGATTGGGCTGCTTTCCCTGTAAGCATTGCAAGCATCAGCTCTCAATTTGTAATTGTTCAGAAATCACAATGTTTTCCTTCTGTTCTGATTGCTAGACTGTGTCAAAATTGGAATACATTAAATGGGATGCCAAACAAGTGTGTCCTGGTTTCTGGTATAATGTAACATGTACAGTGGTGCCCCGCAAGACGGGCGCTCCGTTTGACGACGAAATCGCATCATGACGAACTTTTTGCAATCGCAAAACGATGTTCCCTATGGGGGAATTTCGCTTTGTGATTGGTTCCCTGCTTCAGGAACCGATCATCGCAAAGCGATGATTTTTTAACAGCTGACTGGCGGTTGCAAAATGGCCACCGGGTAAACAAAATGGCCACCCGCTGTGTTTTTGCACAGATTCCTCACTGCACAGGCAGCGAAAATGGCTGCGCTATGGAGGATCTTCGCTGGACGGTCAGTTTGAAGCCCCTAGGAACTCACTAATCTGGTTTTAATGCGTTTCTATGGGCTTTAAAAAATCACATCACGACGTTTTCGTTCTACAGCGATTTCGCTGGAACGACTTAACGTCGTGATGCGAGGCACCACTGTATAGCTAAACCCAAGAACATCAGAATTCTCCATGTTTCTCTATTGTCTTGATGTTAGAAGGAAGCCTCATTGGTCAACAGTAAGTAACAACACAACTGATCTTACTTTTCTACTCAAAAGTGTGGTCTGCTACTTAACCATTTGTTAATTAGTCTGGATGTACGAAACCTCTGCAGAACTCTGTATTATACTTTAAGGGATCTTTATGACTAGTGGGAGGGTTTCTATGACTTGTCATTTATTTCTGCAACCAATGTTTGAGCTTATGGGTGGTTTGAACATATTTGAGTTATCTGGTGAAAAAGGCTAGATTCCTCATAAATGTGTTGAAACTTGCTTATGGATTCAAATGTAGGTTAAAGAGAAAATATGAAATGTCATAAAAATCCTCCTCTATTGGTAACACATAGTTCCAATAGAAGCTAACTAAAACCCCTTTGATCCCTTTAGCATACCTGCAAGAAGCTCCCAAGTTTAGGATATTATGACTAGTACAAAAATAGAGATGAATACTCACGCAGAAAGATGCCACCATTCTGATAGGGAATGGCAAGGCAGGATTAACAGAAAAAAATTCTTAAGGATTAGTGGAGCTGCAGCTCCCACATGAGGCCATTTGCAAAACTGAAGCCTGGGGCTCACAAGATAGCAAAGACATGCCTTTATATCTTTCTACAAACTTTGGAGTACACTCTGCAGTTCCTGAAACTTTTTTCACTGGCATTCCATAATTAATACAACTACATGTTGGGGAAGTGGATGCACTCTCTCAACACTTTCCCACAAAATTCTATTACTACTTTAATTAAAAAATAGGACACAGAGGAATGGAACAGAGTTGTACATTAGTTGGTCCCATATTAAAAAGGGGAGATGTGAAACTGGTGATGCTAGAACCGAGCAGAACTTCAATATGACCTTCAAGTATCCCTTCAATTTGTCAGCCCTTAAGCAAACACTGTCGCCTGGCCATTCTGTTTTTATAACCATAAGCTATTATTCCTTACTACATCTACACAACTATTCTCAAGTTATGATGTGGGGATGGAAGTGGGCAGTGGTTTATACTCTTAAAATGCAACTTCCCACCAGCCAGCATTAACCATTTTGCTCCTCAAATTGCTGGAGAAAACATGACTGTGTTTTCAGCTATTATTCATAGTCCATATGGCACAATTTGTGATGGGTGACGATACTCAAGTAAAATCCATCCACAAATGGCATGCAAAAAGTACGGTGGATAGTGACAAAAGGGTAGCTTAAGCCTACCCTTTTGAAACTTTCCCTAGTAAAAATATTTTTGCTCCTGAGGAATATTCCAAAGATTACCTGTACATTTTTCGACTTGAATGAAAAAGTAAAGCATAACAGACCTAGAATTTGAAGCTGCTTAGTGTGTAAAATATGGTACCTTCTAGCAGAGAATGGAACCAAGTGTTCAAAACTGCAGCAGGGCAAAAAAAGTGCTTTGGACAATATATACTTCTGGAAAACCTGGCCTAAATGAAGAATCTCAAAACCTACAGTCAATGATAGTTAGGCATCATTTTCAATTGAGCTTGTATAGACATTCCCCCCTTTCCTATACTAGTCATGATTACTTGTAGAAAATTCAAACCATCTCTGCCTTGTATGATCAGTGTAGGAGAAAAAGAGCTGTTACTCCAATTGAGCCTTCTCTTCTTTCAAAAGCACTGAATACAGATTAATAAATGCTGATCTGTACATATCTACTAAGAAGTTTGCTTAGCTCAAGGGAGCATATTACCCTACTTGTGCCAGGCAAAAGTACGACACTAAGTTTCCTGAAAACACCATGCTGCATTATTTATTTTGCATACTTGGGTATTATTCCCTCCAGCATATCCACAGCATAGACTTCCTCCTCACAACAGACTTGTGAGACATCAGGCTGTCGTAGCATGACTTGCCCCTGATCACCAGAGTTTCATTGCTTCATGGAGACTCAAATTTGGATCTCAAGTCCCAGCTCAACACACAAATCCCTGCAACACATCAGTTCTCTTAGAAGCATCTTCCATTCCATGATTCCTTACACTTAATCTGGTAGAACTGCACTGGACTGGATTTCATCAGATGATTCTACCAGCAAGATCTAAGCCTGACAATCTAAACATAACTGACTGCAACAGAAAGAATACTTAAGTCTCTCATTTAAACCAGTAGACCTAGTAGTACTCTGCAGGTATAAACTTGCCATACATTTCTTTGGCTTCATCAGGATTTCTGTTTAGCAAATTAATCTAGTACATGTTTATATTTCATCTAAATTTAGAGTAATAGGAACATTCACGTGTGCTGCATATTTGCAGAAATTCAACACAGATTCTGTATAAAGCACTGCCTAATAGAAATATTTCCCCCAAAAAACAAACAAACAAAAACCAAGAGGAGCACAGTTTCACAACCACGTTTAATTGAGCCTTTAAATGAGCTGAGAAACTGGAATAAGACAAACAGCACTGGAACAAAAATGTTTCTACTGGTCCTTTAATTCCTTCAGTCTTCTAATGGCAGATTTCACTGTCACTGCTGAAGTGGTACTGGAAAAGAAAGGAAATTGTCAACCTCAAAGGAGACAAAAATGCTCTCTGTAGATTCTTGCAAGCTAATGTTCATCACTGATTGATAGCCAAGATGAAGATGCTTAATCTGTCTTGTTTTTACTATAGACACTCCAGGCACGGATCAGAGTCAGAACATGAAGTTCAGAAGGAAAGACTTTGCATACTAGTCCAGAGGAAGTCCAGCCCACCAGCTGTTTATATACTCTGGGAAGGAAAGTAATTTTGGGCAATAGCAGGAAGGATTTGAACCCTCTGCAACTGAAACTTTTAAAATAAATGTAAATGTATCCACCAGATACCAGTAATGCTTGGCTTAGCCCTACACCAGCATTTTCAAAGTGTACAAAGGATAACCCACAAGCAGTGCGAGACTGCGCATGCGAAGGAGAGCTTGCCACAGCAGGGGGAACACCTAAACTTAAGTGCACAGCACAACAGGATACTGGCCATTGGTTGTTATTTTTTTTTGGGGGGGGGGGAGGTGGAGATGAAGAAAAGTCATAGCCATGTTTAAAAGACAGTACTCAGGATGCTCTACTTAGATACTCTTTATCTTCCTTTTTCCTTCCAAGCAAGTCACATTTCCAATAGCTAAGTCATATCTATCATAAGAATGTATACAATTATGCTAGAAAATCAGCTACAAATCATAACTGTTTACCTCAAAGCAACTACAGTGGACCCTCGACTTACAGACGGCTCGACTTACACACTTTTCGAGTTACAGACTTCTCTGGCTGCAAAATTTAGATTCGACTTGCAGCCAGAGAATCGACTTACAGACCAGAAAAAAACCAAAATGGAATAAAAATAGAATAAAAACCACTGGTTATGGGATTAATCGGTTTTCAATGCATTGTAGGTCAATGGAGATTCGACTTACAGACTTTTCGACTTGCAGCCACCATTCTAATATGGATTAATTCCTTAAGCAGAGTCTTTACTTTCCCCACTTTAAATGGAAACAAAAAATGTTCCCAGGATACCAACATTCCCCTTACCCCCATCATTAGTTTCCCTTACTTGTATGTCCAGGCACCACCAGCCACTGTTTTCATACATGAACCACAATGCCAAATACCAACTGCTTTCCTCTTCATTTTGGTCTGTAAGAGAAACATCACACCTAGTTATTTGCCCAAGAATGTCTATCACAGAAAGAAACAAAAATGCATTTTAGGATATTTTCCACCAATGCTTTATTCATAAAATCCAATTTTAATATGATTTTCAAATAAAATGACCATGCATTTTTACACTCTGCTTGCAAACCTGCACAACAAAGCAGGCACTGCAAGATGGTAAGAATGCATCCAAAGATATTATAGTTCAGGTTAGCATTTTATTACGTTTTTATCTTTACTTTCCTCCATATAGCTCACAGAGGGGACCACGCCCTCAATTTATATTCACAAAAAGCCTGTAAGGGAGGTCAGGCTGAGCATGTGACTATCCCAAAGTTGCCCAATGAATTTCATGGCTCAGTGGGACTTGAACCTGGATCTCCCCAATACTCTTTAAGATAAACTATCACATATAAAGATAACGCCAGCCTAGTTTATGTTTTGGGAAGAGTCTCCTTTTTATCCACCATGCCACCTTGGCTCTCAGTTCACTGACAATAAAAACAAATCCAATAAAACAAAAAACTATTTTGAATTTGGCATAAAACTGAGTTTTCCTCTCTAACTGATTTCATCACATTTTGTATGAGCAACCCATTCTGGTTCCTAAACATTTCAACACGAGAAAACAGGGATTCACGGACAAGTCTGATTCACACAACTGCATAATTTTATTCATAAGGAGCACAGGGGAAGCACTTGTAAGTTCCTGCTATGTTTCACAAAGGTACAGACTTTAAAGCCAAAGCTATCTATAGATAAATTGTTTTTTTACAGCACCTATCTCACATAAAAGAATATTCCACAGTATCTTGGACTTACAAGAGAACTTGCATGAAAAAACTAACAGTCAACGTGATACACCTTTAAAATCTAAAGCAGGTTTCCAGGTATGGATGGATACTGTCAAAAGCTGAAGAAAAAGGGACAGCTCCTTCATATGCACTCCACCAGTGCATGGAAAGGCTTGGAACAGTGCCCTTACCTTGCCACAGAAAGAGCAGGTGTACTTGGCATGTTGGCTAATTTCAATTTTCTTTACCATCTTCCTCAGGGAAGCTCCATATCGGGTACCATATTTACCCACAATCCCAACCTTCTTGGTGCGCTTGGCCTGACAAAAGTAAAAAAAAAAAAAAAAAAAAAAAGGCAAGCTATTAGAATAATGAAAAAGTGAACTACTGTATATTTAATTCTAGAAAGAGATAGCCTGACTCCATGCATGTTTATTCAGATCCCAATAGTTCCAAGTGACTCCAATAAAAACTGGCACCCAAGGGTAAAAAAAACATTTTTCTTACTCCACCAGCATCTCCCCATCTTATTACTGTCAGTGTTAGCAGAACCTTAAACATAAATGCAAGTCTAAATTGGACATACTATTGTCAGTACCAATATATTCTTTTTAATTAAAAAAATGATAGACATGAAATCCACTGTAGGCTCTGCCAGGTTCACCCTTAAATGTATAAGTTAAAATGAGAAGAAAGCAGTTTGGCAAAAGCCTCTTCATATGAACTGCCACTCTTTCATTCATTCATTTTGTAATTATCTGGTGCAGCCTATAAACATGATATTCTTCCAAATGCAATATGGAGAGCGAACTCAAAAGTCAACGGGATTTTGACAAACCAGATATTACTATGGATTAAATTTTAAAACACTAAAGACAAATAATTATGGCACATGCCCCCAACCCACGTACTCATTTCCAAATCTAATGAACTGTGAAACTTTCTTGAGCAGATAATGCCAAAGCATTTCAAACACAATAAGCACAATTATTCCAATCACTAATAAACGGTAGTGTTTTCTCTCAGTACAAAAACCTATGGGGTTTTAAGATGCTTAGATCTGGAAATACCAAAAGGGAAAAGTGTGCAGACCAGGAGGTACAACTGAAAAGTGAGAACAACCAACCAAGGAAATCCCCCGTATGGATTTCCAATAACATTTTTTAAAAAGTAGTTATACCATGTTTCCCTGAAAATAAGACAGGGTCCTTATATTAATTTTTGCTCCAAAAATGCATTAGGGATTATTTTCAGGGGATGTTTTATTATTATTTTTCATGTACAACAATCTACATTTATTCAAATACAATCATGTCATCTTCTTCTGGTTGCTGCACAAGGGTGGGGTTTCATTTAACTGGGGCTTATTTTTGGGGTACGGCTTATATTATGAGCATCCTGAAAAATCATACTGCTTATTTTCGGGGAAACAGGGTAGTGATGGGTCAATTTTACAAACAAGACTCACATCTGAGGGGTTGCTGAAACCTTTGACGCCAATTAAAAAACAACACACACAACACTGGTCCTCCCTAAGCCGGCATTAGGCAACAAAAGGCCATCCACAAGCCAGTTTCAACAGCAGCAGAAGAAAGACGCTCCCGATTCGGAGGCAGCTCCGAGGTACGGAGGAGCAAAGACCTGACAACCCCCCCCTTAAGCTTCCCCTCCCGCGCCCAGAATCCTCTTCTGTCCAAAACCTGGCCTACCGCCCAGCTGCTGCCAGTAACCAACAGCCCCCATCCACCCAGTCGAGGCCCCGTACCCCGAAAAAGGCCTAATATCCGGCTTTCTGAATAGTCGACTCCCCCTACTGTAAGCCTCCACTAACGGCCTCACGTGTGAGAAGAGGCCCAAGGAGGATGGCGGCGGATTAAAAACCACAAGAAGAATATAATCGGGAAGACGGTTCTCACCATTTCGCCGCTCCTGAGGGTCGAAGGAAGAAAGAAGGAAGTGCCCTCCGCGCACGCGCACTACTTGCTCCTCCCGCCACCCCAGACCGGAAGAAAAAGGAAAGGCACGTGGTGCAACCATAGAGAGAAAAGAGCACCGTGGGATTGTCCGCTATCTGGGAGGTGTGTCGACTCAACGATCAGCCTCTCTAGGTGGTCCCACGTGAGGACGGGGTCCCTTAAAGGCACGCAGCTCCTCGGGAGGAATCCTAATACTGTACCCGAGCACTCTACGCTTTGGGAATCACTGCATTTGGCTCCCGACTTAAGCAGAGCCCCAAATAAGCTAGACTGGTCGTGGGGAAGTTTGGAGATAAAATGCCTAGTTTAATAGGTTAGTGTATTGATCTCATTGACTGCCAGCCCCCTTTCCAGGCCAAACAGGAAGCCCTGAATCGAAGCTGGGCGCCCTTCTGGCCATCCAAGCGTTTGAGACTACAGGTTTCACCGTCGCATGGTTTTGGCTAAACTGGATTGGGGGCCGAACATCCAGTCAGTATTCCAGGTTTTTCACCGCACACTAAATCGCATGGACTTCTAAAACCTTAAAAGATTTAGGGTGTCTGATTTCCTGTAATACTGCATTCAGAGGGTAGGTCGTAAGAGTGGATGTGAAACAGGTGAAGGGGTGGTAGAACAAACCATTTGCTTGAAAAATAAGACTGGTATTTTCAATTTATGTTGTCAGTTTTAAATCTGGGGACAATTAGGGCCACCTATGCCTGAATGGGAGGTGGTTTTCCTTTTTAAAATTTGTAACTTGAAAGCCCTTTGCCCCAAAGTCCCCAAACTTGATACAGAGTAAGAGCAGACTGCTGCAACAATGCCAAATTTGGTGCTGATCTGAAGCCCAGTTTAAAACTTAACAAGTTTTTCTTTGAGCTGCCCCCATTTTTTTATAATTGCCTTATAGAATGTTGATTTGCTTTGCAATTAAAGGAATTAAAGAATCTCTTAATGAGGGTGAAAGAGGAGAGTGTCAAAATTAGTCTGAAGCTCAACATAAAAAAAAACTAAGATCATGGCCACTGGTCCCCTCACCTCCTGGCAAATAGAAGGGGAAGATATGGAGGCAGTGACAGATTTTACTTACTTGGGCTCCATGATCACTGCAGATGGTGACAGCAGCCACAAAATTAAAAGACACCTGCTTCTTGGGAGGAAAGCAATGACAAACTTAGATAGTATCTTAAAAAACAGAAACATCCCCTTGCTGACAAAGGTCTGCATAGTCAAAGCTATGGTTTTCCCATAGCAATGTATGGGAGTGAGAGCTGGACCATAAAGAAGGCTGACCGCCGACGAACGGATGCTTTTGAATTGTGCTGGAGGAGGCTCTTAAGAGTCCCCTGGACTGCAAGGAGAACAAACCTATCTATTCTGAAGGAAATCAATCCTGAGTGCTCACTGGAAGGACAGACCCTGAAGCTGAGGCTCCAATACTTTGGCCATCTCATGAGAAGAGAAGACTCCCTGGAAAAGACTCTGATGTTGGGAAAGTGTGAGGGCAAGAGGAGAAGGGGACGACAGAGGAAGAGATTCTTGGACAGTGTCATTGAAGCGACCAGCATGACTTTGACCCAACTCCGGGAGGCAGTGGAAGACAGGAGGACCTGGTGTGCTTTGGTCCATGGGTTACAAAGAGTTCGACATGACTTAACAACTAAACAACAACAAAAAGAGATTTGTCAAGAATAAATCTGTCAGACTAATCTTATCTCATTTTTTCATTAGGTAACCTCCCTCGTAGATGGTGGGAATGTTATGAATGTAATACTGTATATCTTCAGCAAAGCTTTTGACAAAGTGACTCATGATACTCACATTGGTGATCTAAGTGTGGGACTAGATAAAACAGTTCTCAAATAAACAGTTGGTTACAGAATCATACTCGGCGTTTGCTTATCAAAGGATTCTCAGACTGGAAGGAGGCAACAAGTGCAAGATTCAGGCCTGGGCCTGGGTCCTCCAAGATTTTTATTACCCTGTTTCCCTGAAAATAAGACCTAACCTGAAAATAAGCCCTAGTATGATTTTTCAGGATGCTCGTAATATAAGCCCTGCCCCAACAATAAGCCCCAGTTAAGTGAAACCCCGCCCTCCACCCTTGTGCAGCATTGTGCAGCAACTAGAAGAATATGACATGACTATAAAATAAAACATCCCCTGACAATAAGCCCCGATGCATTTTTGGTGCAAAAATTAATACACCCATTCAATTCCATGATTCTATGATCCTAATCACACTTCGAGTGCAGCCAGATGGCAAAAAAGATGTGTATCTGATTGTACCAGAAAGGACCACTTTAATGAGAGCAGTCCCTTTAAAGCAACCCTGCCATCCACTGGGAAATTGCTTCAGACCAGCCTTCAAAAGTAGTAGCTCTATTGCTGAATCAAAAAAGGTCCAGCTTGGGCATGGACTGGGGTCAGGCTGGGGTGCTATTCCTGCATGCCATGTAATTACCCAGGAAGTAGCTCACACCAAATCACGCCAAAAGTGGCACAAACTGTGAACGATATGCCCATATATTCTCACTCTTACCTGGCCATAATTCCCATTCAATTCTGTGAATCTCTTCTTATGTAAGTGCATGTAGGCTTTGGCTACATATGTAATACCTAATTAGGCCCACAAGTTCCTTTTCTTGTGTGAAAGGAAACAAATGGTTATGCTTGCAAGATTCAAGAACAAAATCTGAATAACAGATATTAATTTTATTGGAACTAAACAAATCATTCACTGATTTTTCCTCTTCTATCATAATAAAAAAATAAGCATCATTTTTCTGTGACATCACTGTCCATAACCAAAATCATCAGTACGCCGTTTCTTGCATGGACTTTTTGTGAACAGGCTTCCTCCTTCTTCAGGAGATGCTGTTTGTTGACCAAACTCTTCACAAGCATCCACTGCTTCCACAAGCAGGGCTTCATCCAAGTCATCTGTTTCTTTTGAAAAGGCCCTCTGGAAAAGGTTTAAAATATTCTGCTGCTTTGGGTCCTGCAATGATATTAAAGGGGAAATTAAAAAAAATAAGTAGACAAAAAATAATGAAATAAGTAATCCACAAGAAATGGGAGATGTACAGAGGAAGAGATATGGAAAGAAGCCCAGAAGAAATTCCACATATCATCTCGTCCAGCAACCTGCCAATGCAGGAAATCGAGACTTCTATCATCCATGACAGATGACCATATAACCTCTGTTTAAAAACATCCAACAAAGGAGTCTGCCACCTTTCAAGGCACTCCATTCCACTGTTGAATAGCTCCAATCATCACAAAGGGGCTCCTAATTGAATTTTTTTTCTTGTAACATGAATCTTTTGGCATTAGTCCCACCCTCTGGAGCAGCAGCAAACAAATTTGCTCAATCTTCTACATGGTAGGCCTTTAATATGTGAAGAAAGCTATCACATCTCAGTCTTCTCCAGGCTAAGCTTACCCATTACCTCAACCATTCCTCATGGAGTTTGCTTCCCAGACCTTTTACTACCTTTGTTTCTTTTCTCTGGGCTCATTTTAGCTTGTCAATACTGTATTCTTCTTAAACAGTTGTGCCCAGCCATGTAATTTGTACTCCAGGTGAGGTCTAGCCAAAGCAGAACTGAGCAGACTACCATACCAAGCTTTCTCCCTCCACCCATTGTGTGAGTGCAGAAAAGGGGCACAGTGACATCGCACACTGACTTCCCAAGAGCAAAAACCAGAGCTTCTCGATCAAATTAACCGTAGCAATACCATTCAATAGATTGACTCAAGCATGGCTGCAGTCCCCCACAGGAAACAGCACAGGTAAAGTCATGCTTTCAGGAGCTTGAATAATTGCCATTACTCCAAAACTAGAGTTAATATATGTTTGAGTAATGAGCAATTCACATACAGCCAGAGGCTTTGCTGGGACCCGGTTATTAGGGCCAGTGCAGATTTCCCAAGGAGATGATTAGGGTCTTACATTCAATCTCTGCTATTTTGGGTGAACTTAAAATTGTCCTTTTAATTGTGTTCTTCTACCACAATAACTTAGTGTTCATACATTAATTTTGTTTTCCCAGTTACAGTTCTCCCTACCCTCTAGTTAAGTAAGTACCAATTTTCCTCTCTTCTTTCTTCCCTTATTGCATGGAGCACCATGCACCCTCATAGGAAAAATAAATAAATAAATGGCCTCCAGGATTGAAATTAATGCTAAGTGCAACAAAAGTTGCCTGTTCCAGGCAGTTTACCTTGTAAAAGTAGTAGTCTTTGGCTTCAGCGGTCTCAGAGAACTTGGCTTCCGAGAGGCCAGCTTCACCTAACACTCTGATCTTCTCTTGAATCATAGGCCTGATAGAGGACGTAAATATTACAGTTACCAAAACAGACAAAAATTTGTCATTTGGGCTTTGTTTGCTTCTCCCCCCCCAAAAAAATAAGTGACTATCTTGGCAAAAATTGTGCACTCTACTGTGTTAGATTCCTGGCATTCCTTGCTCACAGCTCCTAATCCAGTGGCTTCCAGAGGCACAGATCATACAAGATCACAATTCTTTTGGTCATCTGTCTTAGCCACAGTCCCACATATGCTACAGCACCATACACCACATACATTTTTTTGTAAATGTCTCTGTGAATAGGGTCCAAGCACTATGTATTTTATTGAGAACCCTCAATAAAATACACAAAACCATTTCCCCTTCCCCCATACCCAGTTTCTCCTCATGAATTTGGGATATTTTACTTGGAAGTGAAGAATGAAGGCAAAAAACACAGAAAACACAAAGTGCAACAGTGGCTGCAGTAGGGGAGACAGGGTCTAACATCTGGTGCAGCACACTGAAACCAATCCTGGTTTGTTACAAAACATGGATATGCAGGATATGCCCCCCTGCCACAATAAGAACTAGAAATTTGCACCTTTTAAGAGCTTCCATTGTTCTACAAAAAAGATTTCATACATTGACTGCAGCTAGGTAGATGCCTCAAGCCCTTGAAACTTTCCACAACTGAGAAAGATTCCCCCTCCCCATGGAAATAAACTGTTGGGATCTGAATGCACAGTTGAGAGGTTCCGAAGATCATCAGTGGCAGTGATGGGCACAAAGGCAAAGAATGTGACCAGCAGGGGCAGCTCCAGTGAGTGGAACAAGTGCTGTGTGTCTCCTATGAACAAGGTGGGAAAGAAAGGGCTATGAGGAATGGGAGCCAAGCATTAGTACTCCGTTTGCTCAGCTCCATGATCTGCAGTCCTTGAGAGTCAGGCTGTCACTTAATAATATAAATAAGCATTTATTTATTTTTTTAATGAAGAGAGAGGATGAATAGATGACTGCATTTTTTGAAAAGGCCACCTTGAGCACTGTTAAATTGAAGAAGATTACAGATTTAAGAAACAAATATGCAGAGCGGCAGAGGAGGTGTGCTATGGAATTATGAGGAGAAGGAAATACGGGGACAGGCCTGGGAAAAGGAAGGTTAAGAAGAAAATTTGACAAGTACCATATTTTTCGCTCCATAAGACGCACCTTTCCATAAGACGCACCAATTTTTTAGGAGAAGAAAACAGGAAAATATGTTTTCTTCGCTCCATAAGACACACAGACTTTCCACCCCTCTGTTTTGTGGGAAAAAAGTGTGTCTTGTGGTGCGAAAAATACGGTATATAAACAGTACAACTAAAGCCTTCATCCTCGACCTTTGTACAGAAGGATAGCCTAGAGCAAGACTTAAAATTTGTAGAACTGAGGGGTTAAGTTAACAGACAAATGAAAGACTGGCAGTGGGCCACAGGAAAGAAGTAATGGCAAGAAAGTTGGTGTTTCCCTCCCTTGCATAAGGAAGGACATTTCCACTCCCAGGCTGTTAGAGTGGCTCAGTATGCACTTGCACAGCAACAACCTGGGAGACCAGTCTTATTCTACCGGCACAGCCGTTCACATCACCAGTGATCCTGGCCTGAAAGTACAAAAACTGTGAAAACCAGGAAGACGGAAATCTTTTGTGCCTTGAGAAATAAAGGGTAGAGAAAATAAGGCACTTATTGGCAAGAGAAAATATGGAAGGCAGGAGACTAGCAGTTAACAGTGTATATAAGGCTCAAGATAACACAGAATGATTGAGCAGGAGCAGAAGGCAGTGTCTGTCAGGATGCAAAACAAGCCTTCTGGCTCAACCCAAGTGTCCCAGTCATTCACACAGTCGTAAGGAAAAAGGCAGTGGAGCAAAAAATGAGTTCTCACCACCACTCCTACCCCAGCAAACAGCACATTTTCCTCCCCTCTTGTACTAATCATCTCGTGTATGGTGACATACAAGCAAAACAGGAAAATGACTGTCATTAGCTCTCATTCACACGTGGGCGATGTGTCAGCTCCTAGCTGCTTGTGAGGTAACGGTCTAATTATTCACAAAGCTGATACTCGGGGGTTCTGCAAGGACAAAACTTCTGATAGAATTGTCTGTCTCACAGGCCACATCTGCAGTAAAATCCTGAAAAAAGAAATGCAGGGGAAAAAGCAAGGAAAAATCGAGAACAAATTTCCATGCACTTTAATGATACTTCAGCTAAATTCTGCATACATTATCATGCACTTTTGCTAATGATGTGTCTGCTAAAGGACAGATGCTGATTCACTGACATCCTCCCACGCCCCCTAAAAGGAGAGGGAGAGCAAGCCCCGGATTGAAAGGACAGGATTTCTAGAACCCAGATATTCTAACCCCACCCAAAGTGGTAGGAGCAGAAAAAATTGGACAGGGAGGAGAGGCAAGGGAGGAGGCTTATGTGGGGACATTTCCTGCATATCCATGGTTTGAAACCAGAGGCTTAGGATTGGTATCAATGTGCTGCACCAGATTTCAGTCCCAGCCTCCTCTACTGCAGCCATTGTTGCATTTGGTGTTTTCCTTGCTCTTCACCTTCGTTCTTCACTTCCAAATAAAATACCCCAAATTCATGAGGAGAACTTGGGTATGGGGAAAGGGGCCAGGGTTCCTGACCTTCATTCTCCAAGTCATAAACCCCACCATGAGCAAAAAAGTAAAGCAGAGAAAGCCATGAAACAAACAATTTTTATGTCCTACCATAAGTAGTCATCAGCTGTGCCTTTTGCAACCAAATAGTGTATATTCACAGAACTGGTTTGCCCAATTCTGTGTGCCCGGTCTTCGGCTTGGATCAAAACCTGTAATTAAAAATGAAACATATAAAATTGGGAAGAAATAGGGTACAAAGCTACTTTTTATGGTTACTGCCCTCATTAATAAATAAATGATCTGTTATACAGCATAAGTGGATCTGCCTCAGTTTGTACTGTCAACATTTATTAAAATCCAGAGAACAGACAGCTCAAAAAGGAGACTATTGGCATTCCCATTTTTCAAAGCAGAAACTGATGCTAAAAGAACAGGTGAACATTCACAAGGGCACTCAAAATTGGCTAGCTCTTTTTACAATTCTGCTTCATAATCATGGAGATTGGTGCATGTTCTACAGTTCTACGTTCCACATTTTGCTGCACGACAGAAGAACTCTGCAATATAAATCAAATAGTACTGCATTCATTTAAGATTTGAAATTACTTGCATAGCCAGGTACTGAAAGGAAAATTTGCCATCCTCAGTTTGAGATAAAGGGGAGTCTGAGGGCTAGATTATTGCACTTTAACCCGGAAAAATGGAATTGAAGTTCTAACTCTTCTGTGTAGCTTCTGAGAAGCCTCTCTCTCTCTCATCCACAGTTACTCAATTTGAAAATAGTACCATCACAAATCTACTTCACAGAATCTTGGGAGTTAAAGTCAATGGACATAATCAGAAAGAAGTCTGTAATGATGAAATCTACTAAATGAAACGTTGTTATAACTGTTTTATTTATTTTTTGCTAGAATTTTCTTAGTAAAGATTTTACAGGACTTGTGAAACGCCAAATAGGAGTAATAATTTAAAGGAAATGTCAGTCACATAAAGCCTACTATCCTACTAGAACATACTGTTCCCAATAGCTTACTTCAACATAGAATATCCAGTTTTTTTAAGACCCACAGGCTTAAGCAATGCCTCACCTGAAGTAAATTCCAAAATAATATTGATTTATTTATGCTCAACAAAGAACCTACATGCAAAGCATGCAACACCTTTACATAACACCTTTATTTTCCTACTTTTACTCCAGCAACCAAAGCTACGAACCCGTCCTGCTAAGAGGACTACAGATTCAGGAAGTAGGTGAAACAAAGCTGAACACTTCTCCTGGCATGCACTGCCCAAATTCTCCACAGAATAACTCCCTACATTCTATCTGAAACACCACAAAACATTCCTTTTGCCAGGAATACAGCCCAAGACATCTTACCCCAGGATTCCAGAATAGTTCTGCAAACACAACCAGATCAGCAGACGAGAGAGTAAGCCCCATGTTGGCAGCTGTTAGGGAGAGGACTGCCACAGAGCGCTTCTCAGAGAACTGGAACTCGTGGCAGAGAGACTGACGCTCTGCTGAAGGAGTGGAGCCATCAATACGAATGTACCCAACATGCTGAAAGGAGAAATGAGAATGAGGAAATAAGGGCTCAGCCATCAGTCCAGCTGAGCTTCCTCCTCTAGTATTGCTTTGCTGCAAAAAAACCTCCACTAAGTGAAACAAAGCTTTGACATTTGAGAGCTTCACTAGCCACTATCAGTATGTACATCAACTCATGTAGGGCCATGGTTCACAATCTAATCTGTACCCAACCTAAGAAATATTGGAATCCAGAGCAGTACCAGAACAAACACGTTCAGACATTTGGCACAGTTTCTCTCTTTAGTGAGATAAATTAGGTTCTCATGTTTTACCAGAACTGGCCAGTTGAGGGAGCCAAAGAACATGCTATGAATACTTGTCAGTGAAAAATACATAGCAGAACAGTGCCCTCTAGTGGCCAGTTCTGGTAATGCATGTGAACATAATTTTTCTGTTTTGTTTCCCTTTTACTATTTTATATATATCTTTCTAGTGTTTGCTACAGTCCACAGTTTTTGGTATCCTCGGGGAGCTTGGAACCAGAAGTGTATTTAGAATGTGGAGGTTCCCAATTAATTCCTGCCAGTCGCCGGTGATAAATAAATATATATATTTAAATCCTAAGTGCCCTCACAGTGCAAAATTGAGAGATGGATTTATTTTTATTTATTTATTTATTTATTGGAACGGTGCACTCGTTAAGCGAGGCACCACTGTATATCTTTCTAGTGTTTGCTAGAGTCCACAGTTTTTTGGTATCCTCAGGGAGCTTGGAACCAGAAGTGTATTTAGAATGTGGAGGTTCCCAATTAATTCCTGCCAGTCGCCGGTGATAAATAAATATATATATTTAAATCCTAAGTGCCCTCACAGTGCAAAATTGAGAGATGGATTTATTTTTATTTATTTATTTATTTATTGGATTTTTACCCTGCCCCTCTAGACGATGTCCACTCAGGGCAGCTGGGGCTTACCTCTGGCCTAGCACTCAGCTTCAGAAAAAGGGAAATGAAGAACCCTGGGTTGTTGGAGACAAAATAAATAATAATAAGTGCAGCGCTACTATTTACCTTTTTCCCCAGCTCCTCGGTGATTGCATCCAGAATTAGTTTGTGATGGGCAAAAACCAGAAATTTTTCTCTTCCACTTTCCAATAAATCTAGGATATATTCTCTGTATTTAGGGAAACAGAGAGGAGAAAACTCAGGCATAAATAAAACTTGTTCTACGTATGTCCAGTGTGTGTCATGCTAAATCAGTTTTTTACTTTTAATATTATTTTGGAAATGAGCTATTCAGCCAAACCCCATGTCTCAAGGCCTGCTTTTTTCATATACTTGAGATCATATAGACTCGAGTCTAGACTCTAGAGTAGCTTCTAAGAATATGGAGATTAGGCCTTCACTGTAAGGGTAATAAAGTTTGGGTCAACATCAATACTGTCTGAACAATCTATTCTTTCTTACAGAAGTACACCACAGGGTATAAAGGTGATTCTTACATTTCAAATTTTAAAAAGGGAGAACAACAGCTTACCCAGTAGTAACAGATTAGTGGTAAAAGATTCATCAAGCTGGTTCACTACAGAGACCATTAATTAACATTTTTTCCTAAGCTCGATTGTACTGGAAACATGTCTTGCAGTCTACTTTCCACCTTAGTAAGGAATGGTCAAGGATACTGCATTCTACTCCAGAAGAGCAACTTACATGATACAGTGAACTTTGCCTTCTGCTGTCCTGTTGTAAAAAAGAATGAGAGCTTCTTTCTCTTCTTGTTTCTGCAGACAATATTTAGAAAAATCCATTAGTGAAGTCTAAGACTAACACTTTTATCAGACAGTTTTTTAATTGGTAGAATAGAAATGAAACATCAAACAAGCAAATCCTCTTTTTGAATGCCACCTTGTTACAAAATGGATGAAATCCTGTGGCTTAGCTTAGTAAATTACACTAGGGTATCAGAGGATTGGGGGAGTCAACTCTGTACATCCAGTTGATTAAAATGGAATGGCCTACTCTAGCTGCAACTTACTTTAGCACAGTGAATCACAATTAGAGTAGGCCCACTTGAATCAACTGGACTTACAGAAGAGTTGACTCACCAAATCCCTGTTGATTCAATGGGCCTACCCTAGTGTGACCTACTCCATTAAGCAACAAGATTTCAGCCAATATCGGCTGTTGCCAATCAGCTCAGGAAATGCAAAGAGCACTCATCCAACTCTAGTGGAAATTTAGGTAAATTTCCCCAACATGTATGAAGTATGGTACGCATGTCTTCCACATAAGAGATGAATCTCTGTAGCAACTGTGACTGGTTCCAACTCTGTGAAAATGATGCACTTCATGGCAAGCCTAGATATGTCTTATATGACATGCAAAAGTTTGAAATAATTTTGTCCCAAGCAATCTTCTCTCTACTCTGTTAGAGCTTGAATGAAGTGACTCCCCAACAAATTTTCAGACAGGACGTCTCCTTCCACCTATCTCCTGGGGATATGCCCATTGCTCAGAATGGGAACCCACCCAGAAAGATAGTTACAGCTGGTTCTCAAATGGTCCTTGCCAACCATCTAGGCCAGCGGCAAACCTATGCAGATGCAACCACTCTTCCTCTGTGTACTGTAACCATAGCCATGAAAACAGAAGAATTAGTTAGATTCCAAACCACTCTGTGTGTGCGTGCGTGTGTGTGTGCTAGCCATATTCAAGGGCCTGCAACCGTGGTTAGTGCACTGCTAAACATAAACAAACCAAGTACAGTTTAGACATTATTGCCCAATGCTGTCTTCTGTCTTAGGACACAACTTTTAAAATGCCAAAGTTGACTCCCATCTCCATGAAACATAACAGCATCCATAACTATGAGTTTGCAAATTCAGTTGGAATAGAAAACTGCAGCATGAACTGGGATCTGCAAATCAAATAGTCCCTCCCAAACGGGGGTTTATGAGGTTCACAGACAAATCATTTTTTTGGTCATGTAAACCAGTGGTCTCCAACCTTGGGCCTCCAGATGTTCTTGGACTACAGCTCCCAGAAGCCTTCAAAACCACTTCTGCTGGCCAGGATTTCTGGGAGTTGAAGTCCAAGAACATCTGGAGGCCCAAGGTTGGGGACCACTGATGTAAACTATGGTTTTGCATGACAGCTGAATGCTATCACACTATTTCCCAACGTTCTTTCTACTTACACTCTTGTAACCCTTTGCCATTTCTTTTGCAGCAGCTGCCAGCTCAGCCTTGGTTCTCGCATTAATGCCTTCAGGGGCCACCACCACCACTTTGCGCTGCTTCGCAGGGAGCTGAGAAAGCACGTCAGATTTCAGGCGACGGATCATGATGCATTCTTCCAGAAGAAGTTTCAGCTCCCCAAGGTTTGATGATCCAGAATAATCCCACCCCCAAGGCCGCTGAAATGCACACATAGTAAGAAGCATTAGTACTAACACTGTCATTATTATCACTGTTAAAAGTCCTTACAAGAGCTATAGGTATTCTCATGCACTGGGAAACTGACACATAACATTACAAAGGTGCTAAAAAAATATTTCGAAAATGACCTGCAGATCCCCCACAAAAGCAAACAATGGTCTAAACTGAGCTTTCATACAGTGACCAATGCCAATGGAAGTAAATAAAAGAGTAACCAAGTTACATTTCAGAAATAATTTAATGAGTTGACACAGATATTTTACTGAATAATAAGTAATGGCTTCTAGTTATTTTTCAAAAGCCTTTTAAAGCTCTGATTGGAAGTTTTATGCCATTGTCTTACCAATTTTAAGTAGCAAGTATTTCTCTCACATTTTGTATTTCTTTCAGTATTTTCAAGATACAATACTTATCAGAACTGGCCACTAGAGGAAGCGAGAGAGTATATCCCTTTATCTTTCTGACTGCTGCTAATCAGATTAGTAATGTACAATGATACTAATTAATTTTGTGAACAGACCAAAAATGACTATCTGACCGTTGGAAAGTAATGAGTAATGTTTGTAGTTCCTTTTAAAAGACAGAATTACAAGCTCTGAATGATATGGACAGTATTAAGTACTTTCTAACTTTCCCCATTGTTTTGAAGTCCTCTTCCATCTGCCCACAGTGTAATCACACCCTAGCAATGCATTCTTCACCTACCACTTTGGCTTAACCTGTCCTGCCCTTGTTATTTTGCAGCTCTCAGAGAGCAGCCAGGAGCTAGCTGTGCAAGATACAGAAGCCCCACTACATTCAAAGTCCTGCTGGCAAAACTAACTTTGAAAAACTGCTAAACCTAATCTGCACATCAGCAACATTCAGCAGCCTTGTAAAAATCTGTACCTTTTACATCCCAGGGATATAGCACACATGTACATCTGAAGCCAAGGGTTTGTTTTCTCCAACTTGCTGTGCTCTTGACTAGAAATGAGCACAAACTGGTAAAATGGCAATTCATTTTGATTCATGATTCACCAAGATCCACAAATCACAACAACAATTTTACAGGGTTTTTTTCTGATGAATTGATGAATTCATTTTTGCCTCTAAAACCCTAAAAATGCCCCTCAGCACCTAGAGACACCAAAATTGCCGGGAAACTCCCCCTGACTCTCTTCTACAACCCCCTCCAAGTTTGGTAAAGATTGGGTTTTAGACATCCAAGTTATACACCCACAAAGTGGGTCTCACCAGAAAAGTGCCCTTTAGCAGCTGGCTTGGGGAAACCCAGTCTTCACCAAACTTGGAGGGATTGTAGAGGAGAGTCAGAGGAAGCTTCTCTGTAATTTTGGGGTCTCCAGGTACCTGGCAGGGAATTTTCAGGGGGGGCCTTTGTTGGTGTGTAACTCAGACATATGAAACACAGTTGTCACCAAACTTCGAGTGATTGTAGAGGGTCAGGAGAAGCTTCTATGCAATCTTGGGGGTCTCTAGGTGCCTGGGGGGGCATTTTATAGCCAAACAAATTGACAAAAAGATTGCTAAATGTTGATTCATATGTGTCAGGGGCATTGATTTGGATGAATATAAATTGACAAATTAGTGATTATTGACAAATTTTTCAATTTGTTTTTTAATTAGTGCCCATCTACTCTTCATTGTAATTTTATTAAAACTTTAACGGAAACTCCTAAGCCTTTCGCAGCTGAGCATTTGTGCCAATCCCAGTGTACTTTTCCTTCTTTTAATGCTCACCGTTAACATCAATTGCTTTGAAAAATGGCTCTAGAACACCTATTTTTGCAAAATTTGGCTCATAAATAAAAACAGGTGACATTTCATTTGTTGCACTTTTGTTTTTATGAGAAAGAAGTGCCAAGGATTTCAACTGTAAACCAATAAACTCATTCCATATCTTTGCTTATTGCATTTGCCAAAGATTTGTGTCTTTCTGCCATAAAACTAAATCAATTCCTTTTAAATAAAATATATTATTTTTTTTCCTAACGAAAGTGTTCAGCTTTCAGGTTGATTGTTTTTTTTTTTAATTTAGCCATGTTTCCAACATGCTACATTTATAATAGCAATTGCTATCAGATCCACAATTTTAAACCATCGTTTTCAGTACAGTGGACCCTTGCCTTATGGAATTAATCCGCATTGGAACGGTGTTCCTAACGAAAGTGTTCAGCTTTCAGGTTGATTGTTTTTTTTTTTAATTTAGCCATGTTAAGAACATGCTACATTTATAATAGCAATTGCTATCAGATCCACAATTTTAAACCATCGTTTTCAGTACTTTGAAGTATAATTGCTGATTATAAAGCAATCAGAGGGCTCTCAATACTGCATTTGCCCCATAAGGTTAGCACAAGAGCAGGACATTACTAAAGAAAACATATATCAAAGAATGGGAAGGAGAACTCCTTAGCACATCACCCACTAATTCTCTCTTAATGTTCCTTCCCCAACCCCTCCAAGCCACTCCATGACTCACAGAAACCTGGCAGTGAATGAGGGGGAGAAACTTCCCCAGGAAGTACTAGTGGATGAAGAATAGCTGTGGATCCCACCCTGTGGTGGTTATTATTTATTATTATGTACTCCATGTATACTTCGTCTTTCCTCTTCAAAGTAGTTCTCAAGATAGCTTACAACCTCACCTGAAATCCTGTCACAGTTATGCAAATGGAATGACTTTTAGAAACAACTGCTGTAAGTTAAGAAATCTCCATATACCTTCCCTGTTACACACCAAATCACACAACCTGTTACGCAAAAGACAAGGTGAACAGAGAGTCTTTAACTTATGGCAAACTGCTTCTAAATGTTACATGGGTCAAGTAGATTTCAGTCTTTGGAAAACAAAGTACCTTTAATTATTTTTAAGGTATGATATTTGGGGTTGTGAGAAGATGAGGGAGGCAGGAAAACTCAGAATAAAGATGCACACTAATATTGCGGGGGGGGGGGCAAAGTCAAGATAATCATTGGATAAAATTTTAGACCAGTTAGAAAGATATGCATAAGATAGTTAAAGCTTAAAAAAATGTATACATGGGCAGGAAATATAGCTAGTGGATGAAGAATAGCTGTGGATCCCACCCCATGGTGGTTATTATTTATTACTAGGTACTCCATGTATACTTCGTCTTTCCTCTTCAAAGTAGTGCTCAAGACAGCTTACAACCTCACCTGAAATCCTGTCGCAGTTATGCAAATGGAATGACTTTTAGAAACAACTGCTGTAAGTTAAGAAATCTCCATAAACCTTCCCTGTTACACACCAAATCACACAACCCGTTATGCAAAAGACAAGGTGAACAGAGAGTCTTTAACTTATGGCAAATTGCTTCTAAATGTTACATGGGTCGAGTAGATTTCAGTCTTTGGAAAACAAAGTACTTTTAATTATTTTTAAGGTATGATATTTGGGGTAGTGAGAAGATGAGGGAGGCAGGAAAATGCAGAATAAAGATGCACACTAATGTTGCTGGGGGGGACCCCCAAGAGCTCATAATCCCTACTAAAACATCACAAATAAATTCTCTCTTTGTTTGCTCAGTCCCTTACAAGTTAGGGAGAAAAGACAAACCAAACCTAGACTCATTTCCTCTTTCTACCCTGCTCACTTCATAAGTCTCAAGATCTGCCCATCAAGAGCAAAGTCAAGACAATCATTGGATAAAATTTTAGACCAGTTATAAAGATATGCATAAGATATTTAAATTAAAGCTTAAAAATGTATACATGGGCAGGAAATATAGCTTTATAGCTGCTGTTCCCATTTAACAAGCTAATTAACTCTAACAAGATAGTGCTTGGAAAAAAAGACATGTGACCTTTTGCTGCCCAGTGAAGGTAACCCTTAACAATGAAAACAGGATCTTTAAGGCTGCTACTCAGATGCTGGCCATGACCTGGAAGGCAGTGCTCTTTTATCAGAACACAACAATGGCAGCTAAGAGGCCCTACTCTGATCTAACATCCCAACTGCTTCTTCTCAGCTGCTGCTCAGTTCTAGCAGATGCACAAGACACTTGTAACACAGTACCTTCAACAACAGGCTGCAAAATTACGTTATGTGAAGTTTAATAGGTGCATCTTTCCCAAAGAGAAAATGCAGGCAAGCAAGGAGAGTGTCTGGCCCTACAGATGTTATTGGGCTGTAGCTCCCCTCACTCCTCACACTACCAGCTGTGCTGAGTAGATCTGATGGAAGGCTGTACGTTGACCACTCCTGTCTGACAGGCTGAGTATTGCCACCCCATGATAAGCAATCAATTCCCTCTGGAACTGCAAAGCCCCCATGGCGCAAGAGCACTTCCGAACAGAGATGTGCTTGATATTAAATTAGATCCTTTCTCACCTAAGCTAGTTATCATCTCACAGGTGGCAGCAGCTCTCCAAGGCTTCAGGTTGAGGTCTGTCCAATTCCTATTACAGGGAGCCTTTTAACTGGACACATGGAAATAAACCTAGCATTTTAAACATGCAAAACACACACTCTACCAATGAGCTAAAGCCAACTGGTTCTGCTGAAGATCTGCCCTCCCAAAGGGAAGACCTCACTTGGAGGAGACTACAATTTCATGATTTTGCTTCCTTATGATTTATTCAGAGCAAAGGATACTTCCCACCATGCACCTATTATTACTATTACTTCCAAGTTACCTGATGGCTCCCACTTTGCCAGGAAATCTACCCCAATTACCTGTTTTGCATCACAGTAGCGGAGCCCAAAGGCATGGAACTGAGGGAAGAAGGATGGCCTGACAGCTGCCATTTGGGTATACAGTTCTGCAGGGCGTGACATGGCAGGGGTTCCCGACAGCAGGATGACTCGCTTGGCAGCCTAGAAGAGTGTAAAGGTTGTCGAAGGTGAATGCCACATGGCTGCCATTCCAAGCAGAGTTGAGGAAACCAATTCTGGTTCTACAAAAAGTAAGACACTGTGATGACTAGCACACTAATATAACATAGTAGGAGTAAGACAGTGGGGACTCCCTATAGGGAGGAAGGCAGCATATAAATGACAATAAGCTGAGAAAAATCTCTGTTCTGCTGACAGCTTGCAACCAACTCCTGCCAGGCATAACCCATGCATCCAGAACTGGTCCCTGGACGTACAGCATCTTGGGCAAGAAACACCTTTTGCCAACCTGTCTCCTGTCCATGCTGCAGTGCAGCCAACTCATGTCTGTCGGATTTATGGTATCTTCAGTGTTCAGGATGCATGGTTAACACTGCTCCAAATTAAAGCTCTTCTTTTGGGTTTTATGAACAATTAGCATCAAACTGGATGTTGAAGGAGAAACTGAGCTTTTAGAGCTATTAGTTGGACTGTCATGTTTGCAACAAGTAGATGCTTGAAGTTAGTACCAAAACAACCTGTGAAAGTGTCAACAAAAGGCTAAGATTGTATTTTATTTTATTTTGGTCATTTAAGCTCATTACAGGAAGTATAATCAAGAAGCCATCACTCTGGTGCCCCCTTCTTATGGGCACTGAGGCCAAATGATCCCTAAGGCCCACATCTATGGATGGAGAGAATGATCATATGGAGCTGTACAAAAGACCTATTAGAAGAGTCATTGTCTTCATCTTTGAACACTTGAAATTAGAAGAGTCATTGTCTTCATCTTTGAACACGTCTCAAAAACCATCAGATATATTTATCTGTAAACTTTCGGGGAACTATCAGATATATTCATCTGTGAGCCAGAGGTTGGGAGTTTGATTCCCTAATGTGCCTACAGTTCTAAAATGATAATGATGATGATCAAAGCCCACTTCACCTAATAGATGTGTAATAATATTCTCGTTGGACAGGTACACACACAGGTATATGATAAAGTCCAAGTCCCTGAAATGCAGAAGTGCTATCTGACAATTTTATGTACCATTTAAAATAAACCAAGGGACAATTTGCAATGCAGTCAATGGTATCCCAGTTTTGCTATGATCGCTGATGCCTGTGTTGGGACAGAGAACCACTTCATGAAATAAATCTAAATGAACAGAATTAGACTATTAAATCTAAATGGTCTATTTTTAAAATGCTGGGATCTCCCTTTGAGATTCACTTCATAAAGAAGGGCAGCAGTAGAGTATCCAGGAAAACTGAAATGTTTCTCCCACTGGCTTCTGAATATTGTCAATTCCATGATTATTTACTCTTTCACATAGAGAATGACTGGCTCGTCCTACATAAACATAAAAAAGCCATTGCCTGCACCGGACAGCATATTTCACATATGAAGATGAGTTCACAAGAAGACTTAAGGTAGATAGCAGGAGAGCAAAAATCAATAAAGAAAACACCTGAAAGTAGCCAGGAAAACTGTAGAATCATGGAGTCTCTTCTATGATTAATTGGAGCTGCAGACAAGCCTGGTGCTAGGATTTAGACCACAGAAATATTGGGATAGTTTTAAGGTAATGCTGTTATGTGTATCAGTGGCATAATTCCTCCAAAAGGAGTGTCTGACTACAATAAAAGGAAGCCCTTCATAAAAAAAATTCAGGAGTTATATTTGCATTCAGATGCAGAAATGATATACAATATTCTGACCTTTCCACCAGATGTCTCGTTGCTTTCAAATTGCACAAGGATAGATAGGGAACACACTAGTAAATAAACATAACTGAACATGCAAGGTTGCCTTATCCTCAAACAGTGATTTATTGGGTGTTTAAATGATTTTTACAGCAGGTGACCTGCAGCACAGCTGTCCAACTTCCTTTGCATTGTGGCTATTATTTAAATGCACATTCCACTGGATATACAATTATATATTCCTGATTCCTTCTCATTTTCCCCTTGTCAGCTGTTTAACATTTAAAGTATGCATTGCCCTGCCTGACACAAAATGAAAATATCAGATGGCAATTTAAATGTAGAAGCTTTTGCCTCTCGAAAGACAAAGAGCTGGGACTTGTGGGGAGAGTGTAGCTTCACGTATTTCAAATTTTCATTTCTCTCATAAACCAGCATTGTAAGTCATGTCCATTCCAACTCTATAAGAAGCCTACAGTCAGAACCTAACTATCGTGTCTACGAATAATCTGAAGTATGTCCATCATCACAATCACCACCCCAGAATATTCAAATTATATCCAAACGTGAATTAGTTCCAAACAACGTTTTGACTCTAAATAGTGGTAGCCATTAAGACTTTAGTAAAACATGGGTTATCATATGCTCTTAACCATCAGGAGGGAAGAGGGTGAAATGACCTTGAGGAGGTACTGTATGTATAACTACATTTCTTTCACAAAGATATTCTGGATTTATATAGAAAACACAGTGCAGTGCTTTTTTTTAAACGAAAAGGCAGTCCAAAGGTTTCATTTACTCAAAGTAAGGAAATTTTATTGCTTTAATTCTAAGAGGACCTGAACAAAGCCAAAAACAAACCATGTCATTTGAAATAAGGTATGGGTTGTGGGGAGATTCTTAGTGATGGCAGCTCTCTGTCTAAGGGACTGGGCGTTCTAATCCACATCACCAGAGGTGAAATCTGAAGCTTTCTCAGTGGACTCTGCAGCTCCTCCCACGTTCAATAAACAAGGAATCTGGCCATGGATTTTATAACTTTTTTTTCTACACCACCCCGAGTTCTGTAATGCCCAACCATACAAAGACATATATGGAGTTAATAGCTAGATCCTGAATGTTCAGTTTCAGTGGTCTAATAAAAGTATCCCCACAATCTTCAGATTGTGTACAAGGATCACGTGACTTTCTTTATTGTTGAATACACTATGTTTCTTGCTTTTTTATTTCCAGACAGTTAAGGAAGAAAATGTAAAAGGATGCACACTACAGCAAAAAGGTGTGCCTTCTGTAGCTCCTGAAGGTAAACCAAGGATGCTAACACACTTAAAAAATGGGTCTGCAACACTACTGGAGTGGAATAATTGCAGCGGACACAATGGCCTTTCTTCAAACTAGCAACCATTTGGAAAGCTCTGATAAGTTCATAAAATCATAGAATAATTGAGTTGGAAGGAACCTATAAGGTCATTGAGTCCAACCCCCTGAACAATGCAGGAATCCGTATCAAAGCAGATTTGACAGATGGTTCTCCAATTTCCTCTTGAATGCCTCCAGCGTTGGAGCACTCACCACTTCCTGAGGTAATTGGTTCCAGCGTTGTGCTGCTGTAACAGTGAAGACCTTTTTCCTAATATTTAGCCTAACTTCCTAATATTTAGCCTAACTTGAGTCCATTACTACATGCCCTCCACCTTGGGATGATCAAGAACAAATCCTGCCCCTCCTCTGCATGACTACAATTCAAGTATTCAAAAAGTGTGATAACATCTCCCTTCAGTTTTCTTTTCTCATGGCTAAACATACCCAATTCTTTCAGTCTTTCCTCACAGGACTTGGTTTTCAGTCCACTGATCGTCCTTGTTACTCTCCTAACCTGCTCCAGTTTGCTGGCATCCTTCTTAAAGTGTAGTGTCCAGAAGGGATGCAGTTTCTAAAATAGCAGTGGAAAAGAACTCCTCCTGCTAAATGTTGGTCTTGATATACAGGAAAATTGCCTAATACACTAGTGCAGTAGCAATACCACATTGATGGTAGTCAACCTCATGCAAGTTTCATTAACTGCCTGCCAATAAAATGTATTTTTAAAAGACAGGGCTCTCCACCATTAGGCTAATGATCCTTATTCCTTGTGGTTCTCTCAGCAAGCAACTGGCCTGCATAATGATTATGGAATACACACATTCAGAACTTTGCTCAGCAGCTAATATGCTTTTCCTGCATCTTTTGTGGCTGGTGCCTCTAAATCTTGTGTCTGTTCAACTCTCACTTTCATTCTTTATGATGGAAGTTGTGCAAATGAGAAACTCAAAAAATTACCTATGGAAAACAATCATTTTATCAAATAGGGATTACCTCCAAGAAGCGCCACTAAATCTAGTAAAAAAAACAACAATTACCTTCATTTCAACCTGGACCTACTTTAAAACACATTCTAACAATTTCAACAAGTTTTATCAATTTTTAAAATGCTAATCTGAGTTTTACCTATACAGTGGTGCCTCGCTTAGCGATTGCGTCGTTTAACGATGTATTCGCTTAGCGATGAGGTTTTAGGAGCGATCTTGCGCTCCGTTATTTTAAATGTGTCTTAAAATGTTAAAAAACTGTTTAATATGCTTGGAATCGTTACTGCACCTTGTAAAACCTTTGCAAACTTGATTTGGCTTTGTTCTGAATCTTTGTTAATTCTTGGTGAATTTTTTCCCCCCATTAGAATGCACTGAACTGTAGGTTTGACAGCTGTCAAACCTACAGTTCAATGCATTCCAATGGGGGAGAAAAAAATTCACCACAAATTAACGAAGACTCAGAACAAAGCCAAATTAGGTTTGCAAAGGTTTTACAAGGTGCACTAACGATTCCAAGCATTTTAAACAGTTTTTGAACATTTTAAGACACTTTAAAAATAGCAAAAACGGACCTGTCAAAACCATTGAAATGCAATGAAACCTATTCAATGCATTCCAATGGGGGAACCGCGTTTCGCTTAGCGGTTTCCTATGGCGATTTTCACTTAAGAACGGTAATCCATTCCCATTGGAACGGATTATCCGGTTTTCAATGCATCTCTATGGGAAAACGCGTTTTGCTTAGCGATGTTTTCCCATAGTGATGTGGTTTTTTTGGAACCAACTGAAATTGTTAAGCGAGGCACCACTGTATATTTAACAACAGTTACTGCCTTTAATAAACAGGGACACTTAGGAAAATCTTCGTCTCCATATTTCTGAAGTTTGAAACTACATTATTTTTTTAAAAAAACCAATACATAGATGTACACAGGCATTTTCCCT